CCAGAGTCACCCAGCCATACCAAGCACTAAGGACAGGAGGAGGGCAGCTCTGAAGCCTCTCTTCCCTTTTCTCCTCTGCCAGAGGGCTTTTTCCCACCAGCCCAGGAGAGTGGATGCAGAGGGAGGGCATCAGATTCCCTCTGGATCTCTGCACAGCTCTATTGCAAAGCTGCCCCAACACCAAGGGCAAGGCAGAGCATCCCTACACACAGTGAGCTTTCTCCCTCCCCAAAGAGGGGGAAAAACTGAGTTTGCACTTGCTTTTATAAGCCACTCAGGTGTGCTGTTGTAAAGCACTACATGTAGGGACAGCACAAAGGGGAATGGCTTTAACCTGCAAGAGGGGAGATTGAGATGAGCTCTGAGGCAGAAGCTCTCCCCTGGGAGGGTGCTGAGGCGCTGGCACAGGGTGCCCAGAGGAGCTGTGGCTGGCCCATCCCCGGCAGTGTTCAACGCCAGGTTGGGCACAGGGGCTTGGAGCAACCTGCTCTAGTGGAAGGTGTCCCTGCCCGGGACAGGGGTTGGAGCTGGAGGATCTTAAGATCCTTTCCAATCCAAAGCATTCCATGATTCTGTGATACTACAAAACACAAGGTGTGTTTCAAACAATTGGGAAGGTGTGAAGATGTTTCGGTGCCCACAAGCTGTGCGGAGCTGCCCGTGCATCTGCCTGCTCTGATGTCGACATTCCTGTTACCTGAGGCAGGAGGTTTTGGCCGTTACATGCCCAGCAGGACAGGCAGGATCCACATGGACTCCCTGGTCAGGAGCTGAAGCACTCAGAAGATGCACAAGGCACCCACCCCCAGGCAAATCAGCTCCTGAGCTCTGCACCACGGAAAATTCTCCATATGGAAAAGCACACCCCCCAAGGCTGATATTCCAAGAGCTCTTTAGCACACTGGCAAAGCGAGGGTGGCTTTCCTGGCCTGCAAAACCAACATGTTCTCTGCAAGCTCCAGTGCTTTCAATTGAGGCACGCTGTTCCAAATGGAAGCAGCTAATCAGGGATCCTACAGTTCCCAGCTCTGGATCAATGGCATGAGCCATCTGTCCAGGCAAAGCTTCGTTTTATTCCATACTTATTGCCCTCTAGTGTGATGGACGTGCTATTACTGCCTTGCCAGAGCTGCCTCCCTCCTCCTCCTCCTCCTCTTCCAAGTCTTATCTTGCACGGAGGGGGAGATATATTTTAATGCTGACAAAATGGGAAGTGGCTGCATCTATTTGGCAGGAGCAAAGCGCTGTCCCCCCTCCTCTGCCAAGCAGGGCTGTGCTGGAAGCTTCTCTCACCGATATAACAGAAGGCATCTGCACGGGAGGGCCGGGGAGCACGGGCATGGTCTGTCCGTTCGCAAGCTGCACGACAAGGGGAAGGGAACCTGTTGGAGACCTGCAGAAACAACAGTTCAAGTTCATATGGATGGTTTCAGGTTGATGCTGTCCCGGCTGCCCCCCGAGCTCAAGGGCACAAGTACAAGTTAACTCTGGTTGGCAGATTTGGGCTCGTTTTCCCATTGCCCTTCCCCAGGCTGCTCCTTGCTCAAGGCTGGCAGTGATGGGGATGGCCCCGAGACATGATGTGCCCCAGGGAACTCCTGGGGGTACATGTGCTGGGTAAAACATGGTGGCTGAGGCACAATGTCCAGCTGAAGAGACACAAAAGCACATCCAGGGGCTGCAGCTTCTCCTTGGAGAGATGAGAAGTACCCTCATGGGCTAAGCCTTGCACTAAGCAGATGGGGGAGCTGGGCTGCTCCTGCCCACCAGTAACTTCTGGTCCTGTGAGCCACATCTGCTGAGCACCCACGAGAGGGTTTGCGAGGGTTTCTTCTCCTATGGCTGAGAGCTGGGCTTGTTCAGCCTGGAGAAGAGAAAGCTCCTGAAGGGAAGACCTTAGAGCAGCTCCAGTGCCTAAAGGGGCTGCAGGAAACCTGGAGAGGGGCTTTGGACAAGGGATGGAGGGACAGGACAAGGGGAATGGCTTGAACCTGCCAGAGGGGAGGCCGAGATGAGCTCTGAGGCAGAAGCTCTTCCCTGGGAGGGTGCTGAGGTGCTGGCACAGGATGTCCAGAGAAGCTGTGGCTGCCCCATCCCTGGCAGTGTTCAAGGCCAGGTTGGACACAGGGGCTTGGAGCAACCTGCTCTAGTGGAAGGTGTCCCTGCCCGGGGCAGGGGTTGGAGCTGGAGGAGCTTTAAGGCCCCTTCATCACAAACCATTCCATGATTCTATGATTTAGTTTCCAGTAACTACTTCTGACTCCAGAGAAAACCGAGCTGGTTCCTGTCTGCACAGACAGAGGCTCTGGGAGACAGGAAGGGCCCCGCTCCCTGGGGGAGGAGAAGATCCCCCTGGAGCCTAATTGAGACAAATTACAGTTCCCAAGAACTCTTCCTTTGCAGATCGTTCTGCAGTGAAATGCAAAGTTCCTGCCTGTGGCAACAGGCACACACCCCACCCCCCCCCACCCTGCCTCCATCTCAGTGTTATAAACCTCACTATGCTCCTGCTCTGACCCTCTGGACTCAGCCTTTCCAGGAGAACAGAGGAAAAGCTGGAGCTGATGTGCTCCAGACGACAGGGAGAGGAAGGAAACCATCCCTCTGCCAGCAAGGGCTGGTGTCCTGCTCCTCCTCTGTTCCTGGCAGCGCAGCAGGGAACCGAATGGAGGCAGAGATGAGCTGGGAAGAGCAGAGCAGAGCTGCTGGGAGCAGGACTTTGCCTGGAAGGATAAAAAGGGGATGGAGGAGGTTGGGCTGGCTCCTCGGAGGAAGCTGTGCTGGCACGGAGTAACGGCAGGGTGGGGAGAAGCAGGAGCTGTGGGTCGGAGGAGGGAGGAGTTCATGGTGCCAATAACTCAGGCTGGAATTTTTAAGGCTGCCTTGGGAAGGCGAGCGCTCGCCTCTCATTCATTTCTATTGGGCATCCCAAATCCTCCAGGCTGCTTTTGAAATCCCAGCCTAACAAGGCGAGTTACAGGCAGGTCACAGCCTCCCCTCCATCTCTGTCCTGCTGACAGCCCTGCCACGTCTTCAGCAGCCCCAGCGAAGGGACATTCAAAGCTGCAACCTCATCCCCGAGGAGGGATCGACCCCCGTGGGCTATAAAGGGAATAAAGAATCATATTCGAGTCCAGCTTACTCCAGTTCTGCTTTCTTCATGCCTCTAAGCACAAGGGGACTCCAAACAGCCTCAGGAGCTGGGTTACAGAAGGGCTCTTAATGCCCTTTGAAAAACCTCCGGACAACCACTTAACCCCTTAATGCCTCAAGACAGGATTTAAAACTTTCCATCAGGAAATCTGGATTGATGGTGCCAGAGGGTCAAAGCAAAGAAAAAACCCCACACACCCAAATATGAAGTGACAGCCAGAACAAATGGCCTGGTTAATGTAAGGAGCCAGCCTCCAACAAGGGTAATTAGAGAGGGGCCAGGACCACAGCAAAAAAGATGCATCCTGACACCAAAGAATAGAAGTGGAGCTAAATATATGTCTCCTGAGGGCTGCCTGTAATGTGCTTCCTGCATCCTTCAGGCTCCTTCCTTTTATGTGCAGGGCTGGAGCTACCCACCAGTGCGACAGGGCTCGTAACCGCTGCAGCGAGCGCTCTGGAGCCTCGGCTCCGGGTTGTTAAAGGAGCAACAAGGAGCAGGTCGTTAGATGTGTCGAAACAAACAGCTCCCGAGGCAGGAGCTGACCACGGAGGAGGCCAGCAGGTTGCAGGCGAGGTTACACTTCGGAGGCAGCAGCTGCCTGACAACATCCCAAAGCCATTACAGAGGCAGACAATTTCCTACCGCCGCATCAGGCTGCCAAAGCAACGTGGGAGCCCCCAGCCAGGCCCCGCTCCCTCCGTAGGCAGCAAGTGGCATGTCAGCATATTTGGGGACTGGGTTTCATTCCTCCCCGTGGTGAGTTTTGCCTCGTTTCGTTACACTGAGACAATTAGTTCCTGCTTCCTGCACTTCCAACCCCATTCTGCTTCTGTAGACAAGTGCTGCAGCGAGGCCCTTATGTCCAAGCAGCCGCAGCGGGAACCGCGGCCCCTCGGTTGTTCTGATCATCAAGGAACTTATTGAGGTACCTAATTACTGGCCAGGCAGCCTGACGGGCCAGGAGGAACCTCAGAGCATGTGTCCCTCCTCTGCACTTACCCGAGCTGTCTGTTGGAAGGGGGAGCCTGGGTGATGACAGAGGTTGGGGAAGGCAGCGTAGGGTGGAGCGGGTCGTAACCCAAGTGTAGCGGCAGCGAGCCGGGCCGCACGATGGTTGGAGTAGGTGTAGAAATGATGACAGGCTTGGAGGTGATCTCCTGAGGAGGAACATAGACAGGAGACATGCTGTTAGTTATCAGCTTAGTAATGACCTGGGTTTCTCTTCCTTCTAATGGCTTAAGAGCAGTTTAGTGTAAATGAAGACACCTTTGCTACAGAAACCGAGGCACAAGGGGAGCGACTTACCCAAAGCCACAGTGATTCAATGTCAGAGCAGGGAGTGGGACATGGACATTCAGATCCTGCTGCCTGCAGCAGTCTTTAGGAAATAATCCCCCTCCTTGACCTTGCTCCAGCCCCAGTTAGCATCTCTAGGGTGGGATGTTATTCAGAGGGACAATGTCACCTGGACAAAGTGACACCTTAGAGCAGCTCCAGTGCCTAAAGGGGCTACAAGAAACCTGGAGAGGGGCTTTGGACAAGGGATGGAGGGACAGGACAAGGGGAATGGCTTTAACCTGTCAGAGGGGAGATGGAGATGAGCTCCAGTGGAAGGTGTCCCTGCCCGTGGCAGGGGGGTGGAACTGGATGAGCTTTAAGGTCCCTTCCAACACAAACCATTCCATGATTCTATGACTAATCTGCTCTGAATCACCAGCCCTCCAGGACACAGGGAGCTGGTCTGGGTCTCATAGAAGATGCATTAGTTGTTTGTCACTTTTGCCCTGCCAGGAAAGCATTCCCAGGGTGAACACAGCATCTTCTGCAGTAGCCAAATCCACGTGGAGACTTCAGGGCAGCAAACGTGTATTTTAGCAAACAAACCTTTCTCTTTCTTTCTAAATCGAGTGGCACCTCACAAGCCCAAATCCAACCCTGGCACCCATGCGGAGAAGAAGCTGCTTCTCATCCAGAGGAGAGGCCAACGTCTCCATGGGGCACGGTGGAGGAGACCTACCTTCTCCTTGTTCTGTGGGGACTGTGGGTTAGAGGCAGGGCTGTCTGGTGGGGATGAATCCACTTCTACTGGCTCTTCCTCCTTTATCTTGATGTCCGGGGTGGAGGGCAGAGACATATCCAGGGCTCCAGCACTCTACAAGGAAAGCAGCCACAGACTGAAAGGACAATTAGCTCATATTGTTTGTGAAACATTGGGCTGCTCCCAGAGGAATTGCTACGGCTCTGCCAAAGGATTATTATTTATTTGGACTGAAGGAGCATCTGGGAGCCCGAGGCGGCCGCGCCGGCCCCATCCAAACAGAGACAGAGGCCTGGAGAAGACAGTCTCTGCCCCAGATGGCACCATTCTGTGGCTCCTCAGTAACATACACCCAATTCTTTCCATAGTTTCAATTTTGGTTGCTTTTTTCCTTCCTCAAAGGGCTCTGCTCAGGAGAACAGGTAACAAAGCCAAATGCCTGCAAGTTCCAGAAGGCACTTTCATTCACGTCAGAGCTGTAAAGCATTGTATAAATCAGCCTGAATTATTTTATGACCCGATTATCAAAAGCAAACAAAGAGCCATGCAAGTTATTAAATATCTATGAGCGCCCCATTAAAATAAAACCCAACCATATGCCTGAACCTGGCAACTTGCCACCCCCCGCCAGGTTCCAGCAGTGCCACGTGCCCCATTTTAACCAGTTCATGACTTGCTGGGGACAGGAAAAGGGCAGTAAGTGACAATAAGGTGGGGGGATGACTGAAGTGAGCAGCCACCTCTCCCTTCCTCAGAGCTGGACGAAGGGGAGAGCAGGGATAAGATGGAGCACCGGAGGAACACGCACCGGAGCGAGACTCTGCAGGATGCTGCATTTAATTGGGTTCCAACAGACCTCACAAATCACCAGGTCGGTCCCTCCTTCTATCCGGGCCAGGAGAAACTCTTCCTAAATCATTCCTGACAGCTGTTTGTCCAACCTGTTCTCCCTCCCTCCACGATCAATCCCAGCGCTTTCCTTCACTCGCCCCGACCGCTGACAGCTCGTCCGAGCATCCAACCTAAACCTCCTCCTTTGCTGCATTTTAAGTCCTCTCCAGGGAGGGAAAATTGCAGCAAAGAGGGTAAATCCGGGCATCTGTGGATGTTCCTGATGCTCTGAGTGGGGTGCACTGATTTATGCAAGGGCTTTGCTTGCGGTAGGTGCAGTAACCATTTACCTGCCCTCTTAAGCGGAGACGTTGCACTGGGAATCACTAAGGAGAAGGGATTAACATGCAGGAAAGTTTCAAACCACTTAACGTGCCTCCAGGGAAGCTCCTGCTGTGTCTATGTTTTTAATTAACATGCTGGTGTCGAGACCACCCTTGGAACGGGAGGACAAAACACAAACAGCAGCAGCAACAAGGGCTCCATGCGGCCAAATGGTTGAAAACATCTCAGAAATGCAGCAGGCAGCTCTGGCCAGGTTTGCTGAGTGACAAGCCATCTGGGCTGGGGGACCTCGCCTCTGCAGAGGTTTCCAAGGAGGGAAAATGCTTTCCCTAATGCCTGAAACCACCCCAAGCTTCACAACACCCCCTTTGCCTGGCTGCGGGCAGAAATATTTAGACTGCAGTCATCCTAAAGCGAAAACCAGGGCACACCAACCAGCTCAAGGGTCTTAGCTGCAGCTATTAGGTAGCACGGCTTAGGAGATGGGTGGTCTGATTAGAAAGCAACTGGCTAGACTGTGGGCTGCTCAACCATTGCGATGGGAAACCACAAGCGAAAAGCCACCTTCTCCCCTGCCCAGAGCCGAGAACAAAAGGCAGGGAACTCGGAGCCGCGCAGCGCCACGGAGGCCCTTGCAGCATACCAATGAGAGAGATCAATTTCTGCTTTAAAGAGCCCTGTTATTAGGAGCGAGGCTGAAAGACAGTTTTCAGGTTTAATTCTGAATTCCTCCGTTGCCCATCGGAGGGAAGATTTACGCGGCTTCTGCTCCTGCAGTTTATTTCCGAGCAGCGCCGCTGACTGCGAGCGTATGGACGCCCATAGATCAATTTAGTAAATGTATGTGCCAGCCTAAGAGCCCACCACGCATCTGCTGCTGCTCAGCTCCTGCAAAAGGGAGGGGGAAATGGCCTTAATGAGCTGCTGCGCGATGAGATCCCGTTGTCCTTCAGCCCCCTGCGCTCCCCAGGTTGGCAGGGCCGGCCTGAAACGCTACTGCCTGCGTAGGAGGCAGCTCTTTGCTCCTTCCTGCGTAGGAGGCAGCTCTTTGTTAGGAACAACCTCGCTCCTCCACGGAGCCCCTGCTCTCTGTTTGCATGTGCACCCTTCACATGCTAAAGGCACACAGCTGAGCTGGTGCCTGCCCTGCTGATTGCACCTTAAAGGCATCATGTCCATCCCTAAGGAGGCTCTGAGTGAATTTCTGCTGCTTAGCAGAGTCCTGGCCCTTTTCCTGCACCTCCTTCTCAAGGTACAAGGTATGTCGGGCACTGCCTTGGGTTTTTTTGGGGGGGTTTGAGGGTTTTTTTCTTGAATTGAAAAACCAAAGGAGTAATAAACCATCAAAATCCCATCACGCCAGGCCTCAGGTCACAGGATAACCAGCCAAAGTCACCCGAGCTCAAACAATGAAGTCCCACATTAAATCCCAGACCACACTAAGTCACCCTCCAACACCCTCTGATGCCTTTCACCACAGCAGCACCGGCCCCCCTCCGGCCCCCACCACGTGCACCCAGCTCTGTTTTGTGACAACAGTGCCCTTTGCCTCTTGCCTTTTTCTCATCATCCTCTGCAGCCTTCTTGAACTCGTGCTCAAAGGAGCTGGCCAGTTCATTGAAGAGTCCCACTTCTTCACAGTTCTTCAAGAACCGGGTCGGGGTTGGAGTCTGATCTGGTTGGGGTTGTAACACCAAGCGTCAGTCAGAGAGAGGAGAGAAAATACATCTTGAACCACCTTAATCGCCCCTGGGGGCCCCCAAAAACTGGGGTGTTGTGGAAGTCTGGGTGCTTTTCTGCTAAGGTGTGTGTCCTAAGTGACAATTCAGAAAGGGGAAACTCATTTCGTATTGATTTTGTTTCTCTGGTATTAAGTGATCATTGCAGCAAGAGTGATTCCTGCAGAATTCCCAGCTTGTGGCTCGTGTCCTGTCCCTCCCACCCCGGGGTTTTGCCTGTCCTCAGCTGAATTGCTGCTGCAAGGAAGGAAGTCAGTGAGGTTTCATCTCCCTGAAACAGCAGATCTTACAAACAGAGAGGGATGAGAAGGGAAGCAGTGACTGGAGAGCTCCGGTGTGTGGAGCAGCGTCGGGCAGAGCCGCTTCCCTCCCCGCGCTGTCTCCATGCATTAATTCCATCCTCGGACAGACAGCTCCGTGGGAGTGCTGATCATTCCCACCCAGTCCAAAGCCATCCCTCTGGGGCCCGTTTTCCACCAGATTAACACGTTGAGTCATGATCTCTCTGGCCATCACCCAGGCTATAAAGCAGGAAGCAATGGCCCCGCTCCCGGCGAGCCTCGTGCTGCGTGACGTTAGGTCAGGAGTCCAGGTACTAGTGGGAGCCCGGCACGAGCACATTGCACCGAAAGAATCCATCTGGCAGCAAAAGCACATGGATTCTGAAGCACAAAGGGGATCCCGGGGATAGTTTAGCCTGACCTCCTGCATAAAACATCAGCTGCTTGGCACGGATGCTCCCCGGGCGAGCCGCGGTAGCTGTGTGCAAGCTGAAGGGGCTGTGGGAAACATCCCATTCCATCTCCAGCCACGGGTGAGGAGTCTTCGGGAAGCGACTCCAGTGATTCCTTCCCCTCACCGTGACAGAACTCCACGTTGTTTCCAGCCTGTTCAAACCCTACCTCTTGGCTTTGTCGATAAAGCAAAGGTCTCCTCTGAGCACACTTTGCTTCCCCCCACATCTCCCTTCATTAAACCAAGAAACTTTGTCAGCTCAAGATCTCAGCAGGAGGTTATTTTTCCAGTGCTTTAACAGCACTCCGGGCTCTTTTCGGACCATTCCCTGTTTAGCAATGTCCTTCCAAGCCGTGCACACCAGCCCGGAGCCCAAATCCCCAGCGCTTTTCCCAGCGCCACAAAGCAAGCTGTATAACCTCTCTCATCCTCCCCTTGCCCAATTCGTACCTCCAGGAACTGCAGCAACTCTTCCACCCCCAGCAGCCCCCCAGAAGTGCCCACTCCCATGTAACGAAGCCTCTGTGCTGCCAGCTCTAACCAGCAGAGACAGAACAATTCCTCAGGACTCGCTTCAGCTCCAGCATGGTGAGAGCTGCATGTTGAATCCTCCTGCACATTAACACACGGGCGGCTGCCCTGGGCTCAGCACGAAGCAAGAGGGAGGGAGAGAACAAGAAAACCCAGAGATAAAATGGTGGCTTAATAAAAGCAAACCAAAAAGGACATTAGGAATATAGGGCAATAAGAGCCTGGATCCCACTGCTTAAAGCCAGTGGGTTTTATAGCTCCTACAACCCCCCAGCTGCTCGGGATGCATCAAGATCTCAGCCAGGGAAAGGCAGCGTTAAATAGGCTGGTCCTGTGCTGACCACAGCTGAAGAAGTTTGGGGGTTTTAATGTTCGTTGTGGTTTACCCCTGAGCAACAGTTCAGAGGAGCTGGGAGAGAGGGTGAGACCGTGTTCCTTGTGCTAAGCTGAAGCTTTGCGTCCCTCCCATGGTTTGACCTGCCACAGCTTGGGCACAGGAGGAATGTACAGCTCTGGGAGAATCATAGAATCACTCCATGATTTAATCCACAGCTCTGGGAGCTGCAAAGAGGAGGGTTTTGAGCAAGCTGCTCTAGTGGAAGGTGTCCCTGCCCGTGGCAGGGGGTTGGAGCTGGAGGAGCTTTGAGGTCCCTTCCACCCCAACCCATTCTATCATTTTAAGGCTGTATCCCTGTTGGAGCAGGGGGGACTTTGGCTGGAGATGGGACCATCCCCCCTTCCTGCTCCCCCATCCCCTCCCGCCCCACTTCCACCCTGCATTGATCAAGCAAAAGCTGTGCACCCTGTTTAGAAAGGGGGGGAACTGAAGCCAAAACCACCTTTAGGAATGTGAGGGTTCTTCCAGCCCCTGCCCCAAATTCTTCACCATCGACCTCCGTGAGCCTGATCCCATTTGTAACCAAATCTCCCACCAGGAGCCTGTATTGCCTCTGCAGGGAGAAGCTTTGTGCCCTTCCAGCAAAGGCTGCAGGAGCTCTGCTACGATCCTACCTGCAGCTACAATTAACTTGAAGGCTTTAAGGAACCAACTGAATTGCTATTTCCTACTTCAACACCGAATTGGGGCTGGAGACAGGGAAAGGATGCCAGGTTCTTCCAGCTCCATTTCCCCTCCTGAACTCTGAAGGCTTCACAAAGCATTTCCTCCTCTCCCCTTGTTCTCAGCAACAGCCTTTTCAGCCAGTGGTAACACAAACCTTTTAAGCAGCCTGACTGAACAGGGACTGACAACTGGCAGCAATGATCTGCTGCCAGACAATGATATGGAGGAAATTGTTCTCCCAATCTTATAAAGGCTGCATTGACCCTGTGCTGCAGGAGCTCCTCATTTGGGCTCTGCCAATGCACGAACTGGTGCACTCGCTGCTGTTTGAATTTATTAACTGCTAGCCTAAAAGCTCACAGAAATTGACACCTGGGCTGAGGAGAGGAAGCTGAGTGTGTCCGATTGTGCTCCTCGTCCTCAAAGCACACGCAGGAACGTGAAAGCCCTTTTGGCCATCAATCTTCCAGTCTTAATAAAAAGGGTGAGAGCTACAAAAAAAAAGAGAAGGAGGAGGAGGAGGGGGAAAAAAAGAGCCCAAACCCCACAAAACCTGATACTGCCATAAAAAAGGGAAAAAAATAGCAACTTGGAAGCCTCTGGCTTTCCTTTCCTCCTGATTAAATGCAGATCACAAGAGGGTTTTATGGGAGGTAGAGCCGTTTTGCAGTGCATCTGGTCCCTGGTATTAATCTTGCAGTCATGCTGTATTAATGTGCCCCATTTCCCGCGCTGGCCTGGCTCGGAGCGCCGCATACCTGCGATGATGACTGAGTCGGTTCGAGCGGGGCCGAATTTCAATGTCATCTCATGCTTGTGTTTATGAACAGCCAGGTGGTCTTCGTTTGTAAACCTCTGCAATGAAACCATTGAGAGACTGGTGACTAAATGCATTGGGGTTTTACGGGTACCTCCTGCAGGACGATGGGGAGGGGGGGAAGGAAGAGAAAGTCGCCCCGAGAGCAACGGTAACGCAATCACTGCTGAGCGTTAAAGCCAAAGCAGAGCGGGACACGGTGTGGGGGAAGTGGGGTGTGGAAGGAAAATGCCATTCCATGGGGCTTCTGGGGGATGGGGGACAAATATTGTTGTCAATACTACTATTACTAATAACAATAATGATAATACATTTTGTTAAGCATTGGGGCCACAACGCGGCTTGCAACCGATGCTGGAGATGCAAACCCACCCGGCTCTCTCGGTGAGATGCTCCCCTTTATTGCTGACTCATGGAGGGATGAATTAGGGGCTACCAGGGAATGGTTTTGGGATGCCATGTGGCAAAGCTGGCACCTGCCTGGTGAGCCAGGCTGTGGCTTTATGGAGCAGGTTGGAGCGGGATGCCCGCCGTGGCGCTTGCCAATGGCGCAGCCAAAGCACGGCCACTGTGGAACAGGGAGAGGGGGGATGCAGCATGAAGACTCCATCTGAAATTCCACCTGAACTGCAGGATAAAACCCCACCCGTGACGGCTTTAGGGATGTGATGGGTGGGGGAGCTGAGTGCATGAAGCTGAAACCCAGACAAAAGGGCAGCATCACCCATTGCGGGACTGCTTTGAACGGCTGCACCAGCCCCAAGCACCGGGATCACGGAAAGGGCAGGGGAGAGGGAGAGGCAGGGATGGGGGTAAA